TTTTCTGTGTTATTAATAAGAAAACACTAGAGAGTGTCAGCTGGTGGAACAGGAATTTTCAGTGCTCATTCTCTCACAGTAATATCAATTTTATAACCATCCACAACAAAAATAGCTGCACAAGACCAAAGGAATCCAGGTGAGAGATTATAGCACCTGAATGGAGCACAGAAATAAGAAAAAAACACATAGAAGAGGATAGGAGAGACAGTTTCACACTACCTGCATCACCTCTCCCCTATGCCTAGGCAACACAGTCTGGAGACAGATGCCCTCCTTTTAAGTAAGGAGAAGAAAATGAGTATGCAACTTTACTCTGGATCCTATTACCAGGCCTGCCCTACTAAACCCCAGGGCCAGGTGAGTCCTCACAGACCCAGGCTCCAGGTGTCAGGCCATATCTAATGGTCCTAGGCTGCAGGAGAACTCCTATGAACCTAGTTTTTCAGGCCTGATTGTGATTTAAGGTAAGCAGCCGTCATGACCCCAGACACCAGACTGACCACTGAGAACCCGGGTTTTAGGCCCACCCCAGTACCAGGCCAGCCCCTGTGGACTTGGGCCTAAGAACTGCCCCAGTGCCAGGATAGGTCCTGTAGACACAAGCTTCAAGCCCATCCCCATGGACAGTCACCAAGCCCACCCCAGTTGACCACAGAGCCATGCTGGCCCCTGTGAATGCAAGCACCAGGACTGTCCACATGGCTGCAGCTTCAGGCCAAGCCCGGCGGACCCAGACTCCAAGTCTTTCCCATGGACCTATGCATCAAGCTGACCTCTGTGAACCTAGGCATCAGACCTGCTCACCTGCTAACTTAGGCACCAAGCCAACTCACCTGAGGACTTCAGTAGCAAACCTGTCACAGACCTTGCATGTCAGACTATCAAGAATCTCTGCCCAGTCTGACTGTAAAGGGATCTCCCTGCCAAAACCTGTCTCTAACAACTAGAAGAGGTCCCTACTTTTTAAAATCTGTAGACAGCAGTTCAAGACCACAAGATCACAAATAATCTGGGAAATGTGACACCACCAAAGGAACAGAATAAAGCACCAGTAAACCAACACTAAAGAAATGAAGATCTAGAAACTCCCTGAAAAAGAATGTAAAGTAATTGCCTTAAAGAACTCCAGTGAGCTAAAATAGAATACAGATAGGCAACTAAATGAAATCAGGGGGAAAATACACAAACAAAATGACGAGTTTAACAAAGACATAAAAACGATTCAAAAAATACACACACAAAAAAATCTGAAGCTGAAAAACACAATTACAGAACTGAAAGATTCAATAGAGAACTTCCACAGCAGACTTGATCAAGCAGAAAAATAAATCAGCAAACTTTAAGACAGATCAGTTGAAATTACCCAGTGAGAGAAATAAAAAGAAAAAAGAATGACAGATAGTAAAGGAAGTCTACAAAACAAGTGGAAAACCATCAAGTGAACCAATGTATGCATTATGGGAACCCCACGAAGAACAAAGAAATAGAGGTAGAAAGCTTATATAAAGAAATAATGACAGCAGACTTTCCAAATCTAGAAAGGGAACTACACATCCAGATCCATAAATCCCAAAGAACTCAGTTAGATTAAACATAAAGAGATCTTCACTGTGACACATAATCAAATTAACAAAAGTCAAAGACAGACAAGTTTAAAGGCACCAATAAAAATGTGATTCATCACATACAAGAGAACACTGATAAAACAATCAGTAGATTTACAGTAGAAACTTTGTAGGCAAAAATGGAATGATAAACTCAACATGCTGAAAGAAAAATAAAATGCCAAACAAGAATACTATACATGGTGTGTTGTTAGTCTGTTCTTGCATTTCTATAAAGGAATACCTGATGCTGGGTGATTTATAAAGAAAAGAGGTTTTATTTTTCACACACAGTTCTTCAGGTTGTATAGGAAGCATAGTGCCAGCATCTGCCTTTGGTAAAGGCCTTGGGAAACTTGCAATTATGACAGAAACTGAAGAAAAGCAAGCATGTTACATAGCCAGAGAGGGATCAAGAGAGAAAGAGAGGAGGTGGCCACTCAGATCTTGAGTGAACTACCAGAGCAAGAAATTACTCATGACCAAGGGGATGCCAATAAGCCATTCATGAGCAATATGACCCCATGATCCAAGCATCTCCCACCAGGTCCCACTTCCAATATTGGGGATTACATTTCAACATAAGATTTGGAGGGCACAAACACCGAAACTACATCGTTCCCCCACCCCAGCCCCCAAATCTCATGTCCTTCTCACATTGCAAAATTAGCCCTACCCAATAGTCCCCCAAAGTCTTAACTCATTCTAGTATGAACTTAAAAGTCCCAAGTTCCGAGTCTCAAGTCCAACATCTTATCTGGAGATTAATCCTTTCCACCTATGAGCCCACATTTGTCTCAAGTGCACATAGACTATTCTCCAGGATAGAGAATATGTTAGGCCACAAAACAAGTCTTAACAAATTTAAGAAGACTGAAATAATATCAAGTATCTTTACTGACCACAATGATATTAAATCAGAAGTCGATGACAGAAATAACTTTGGAAAATTCACAAATATATGTAAATTAAATAATATTCTGCTGAGCAATCACTGGGACAAAGAAGAAATCAAAAAGAACATTTTAAAATATCTTGAGAGAAAAAAAAATACCAAAACTGAGGGATGCAGCACAAGCAGTTCTAAGAGCAAAGCTTACAGAGATAAATGCCTACAGTTTTAAATAAATGAAAGAAGAGACATTATAATGGATGCCTCAGAAACAAAAAAGATCATAGGAGACTATTATGAACAATTATATACCAACAAATTGAATAACCTAGAGGAAATATATGAATTAGTAGAAACATGTAACAAACCAAAATTGAGTCAAGAAGAAATAAAAACCTGAACAGATAAACAAAAAAAATTTAAGTAGTAATTTCGAATCTTCCAATAAAGAAAAGCCCAGGACCAGGCTGAGTATGGTGGTTCATGCCTATAACCACCATATGGTGGTTCATGCCTATAAGCAGTTTGGGAGGCTGAGGTAGGTGGATTGCTTGAGCCCAGGAGTTTGAGACCAGCCTGAGAAACATGGTAAAACACCATCTCTACAAAAAATACAAAATTAGCCAGGTGAGGTGGTGTGCACCAGTAGTCCCAGCTACTTAGGAGGCTGAGGTGGGAGGAATAGCTTGAGCCAGGGACGTGGAGGTCATGGTGAGCAGAGATAGCCCCACTGCACTGCAGCCTGGGCAACAGAGCTAGATCCGGTCTCAAAAAAATAAAGAAAATAAAGAAAAAAAAAGCCCAGGAAAAGATGACTGCATAGCTACAGTCTAGAAAACATTCAAATAAATAATATCAATCCTTCTTAAACTCTTCCAAAAAATTGAACCAGAGGAAATCAAACTCATTTTATAAGGCCAGTGTTATCTTCAAAACAAAACCAGACAAGGATACTATAAGAAAAGAAAATTCTAGGCCAATATCCCTAATGAACATAGATACAAAAATCCTTAACAAAATGCTAGCAAACTGAGTTTACAACACATTATAATGATTATACATTATGACCAAATGTGATTCATCCTTGGGATAGAAGGAAGGTTTAACGTATGCAAATCAGTAAATGTGATACATCAAATTAACAAAAAAGAAAGACAAAAAAGATAATCTCAATCAATGCAGAGAAAGTGTTTGACAATTCAGCATCCTTTCAAGATGAAAACTCTCAACAATTACATATACAAGGAATATACCTCAATATAATAAGACCATATATGATAAGCTTACAGCTAACTTCATGCAAAATGGTAAAAAGCTGAAAGCTTTTCTTCTAAGATCAGAAACAAACCAAGAAAGCTAACTCTTACCCCTTCTATGCAGTGTAGAACTGAAAGTCCTAGCCAGAGCAATCAAGTGAGAAAAAAAAAAAAAATCAAATCAGAAAGGAAAACAGTAAATTGTCTTTGTTTGCAGCTGACATATTTTATATAGAAAGCCCTAAAGACTTCACCAAAAACTTTTATAACTAATAAACACATTCAGTAGAGTTGCAGGATACAAAATCAACACTAAAAAAATTGATTGCATTTCCATACATCAACAACAAACTATCCAAAAAAGAAATTAAGAAAGAAATTCCATTTAAAATAGCATCAAAAAGAAAAAAATACTTAGGAATACAATTAGCCAATATGGTGAAAAATCTGGACATTGAAAACCATAATCCTTAAGGAAATTAAGGAAGACACTAAAGACTGCAAAGATATTTTGCGTTCATTAATTGAAAGAATATTGTTAAAATGTCCATATAACCCAAAACAATTTACATATTTAATGCAATTCCTTTCAAAATATAAATGGCATTTCTCACATAAATAGAAAAAAGCATTCCTAAAATGTATATGGAACCAAAAATATCCCAGATAGCCAAAGCAGTCTTGAGCAAAAAGAACAAAGCTGGAAACATCAGACTACCTGATTTCAAAATATATTACAAAGCTATAGTATTCAAAACAGTAATATACTGGCACCAAAACAGACACAGACCAATGAAACAGTATAGAGAGCCAAGTAATTACCCCACACTTATACAGCAAACTAATCTTTGACAAAAGTGCCAAGGACACACAATGAGAAAAGGATAGTTTCTTCAATAAATGGTGTTGGAAAAAACTGGGTATCCACATGCAAAAGAATGAAATTGGATCCTTAGTTCACACAATATGCAAAAATTAACTCAAAATATATTAAAGACTTAAACTGTAAGTATAACATGTATATAAAACATGAAACTGTAAAACTACTGGAAAAAAACATGGAGACAAAGCTTTTTGAGATTTGTCTGGGCAATGATTTTTTTCAGATATAACCCCAAAACCATAGGTAACAAAAGCAAAAAGAGACAAATGTGATTGCTTCAAAATAAAAGGCTTCTGTACAGGAAAGGAAACAACAGAGTGAAGAGACAACCTATAGAATGACAGAAAAGATTTGCAAACCATACATGTGATAAGGGGTTAATATCGAAATATATAAGAAACATAAACATGTCAACAGCAAGAAAACAAATAACCTGATTTGAAAATGGGTAAAGGACCTGAATAAAGATCTCAAAAAAAATGGCCATATGGAAAAATGCTCAATGTCATTAATCGTCAGGAAAACACTAATCAAAACAACAATGAGATATCACCTCACACCTATTAGGATGGCTATTATCAAAAAGATGAAAGATAACAAGTGTTGGTGAGGATGTGGAGTAAGGGGAATCCTTGAACACTGTTCATGGGAATGTAAATTAGAATAGCCATTATGGAGAACAGTATGAAGTTTCCTCAAAAAAGTAGAATAGAACTACCTATGATTCTGCAATCCTGCTTCTGGGTATATATCCACAGGACATGAAATCAGTAAGTCAAAGACATGTCTGCACTCCCATGTTCACTGCAACATTATTCACAATGACCAAAATATAGAATCAACCTAAGCGCTCATCAACAAATGGATAAAGAAAATGTGGTGCTTACCTTCAGTGGAGTATTACTCAGGCTTGAAAATGGAAAACATCCTGTTGCAACAATATGGATGAACCTGACAGATATTTTGCTATGTAAATTAACCCAAGCCCAGAAAGACAAATACTGATCATTCTCACTTACGTGAAGAATCTAAAAAAGATAAACTCACAGAAGCAAAGAGTAGTAGGGTGGTTGCCAGGGGCTTGAGGGTGGGGGAAATTGAGTAATCATGGTCAAATGGTACAAAGTTTTAGTCATGCAGGATGAATAAGTTCTGCAGATGTAATATACAATATGGTGACTATGGTTAAAATACTGTATTGTACGCTTCAAATTTGCTAAAAGAGTAGATCTTAAATGTTCTCACTCAAAAATAATGGTAACTATGGTAGGTGATGAATACGTTAAATAGCTTATCATTTCACAATGGGGATATATATATATATACACATACACATATCTACCATGTTTTGTGCCTTAAATATGTACAGTTTTTGTCATACACCCCACCTCATGGTTTGCATTCTGCCCTCTGCCCAACTCTCTGTGTGCACTCTCGGGTATGTGCTCTTGCTCCCATGGTCCCTGTAGCTGACAACACGTTGCCCCCATTTCAAACCACACATTTTTCTTCATTCTTCAAGTCCTTTTTCAAACACTGATGCAACTGCAAATCTTCCTCCAGTCCCCTCCCACAGAGTAAATTTCTCACTCTTCTAGGTTTAAATAGCTCCTTTTAAGCTTTGTTACTATGTGAATCATGGTCAAAGCTGTAGCATAGTTAACAATGTATGTGTCTTCCTCCCATCTATCTGACCTAATGCTGTGACTGATACCTATTAAATATTTGGTACATAATAATTCATTTTCCTTTTCTTTTCTTTCTCTTAAGGGGAGGCAGCGCATCTTCATAGCCTGCCACATGTTAGTTGTATCACTGTGCCAGGTTAAGCTGCTAAGTCCCAGTCTTTCTTCAGAAAAATGGCCACAGTAATATTTGCCTTATAAGGTACTTTTGAAAACAAATAACATAATGCATCTAAAGTGCTTAGCTTAGTGCCTGGCACCCAGTGAATGCACATTCTAAAGTGATTATTTTTAGTGGTATTTCCCCCATCATTTTCTGACTGTGAGGCACAGCCTGAAGCATTTTATATACCATGTCCCAGAGTCTGTACTAGAACTTAGCTTCCTAGGGGATGGTACTCTGTCCTTTTTTGTTGCCACTGTATCTCTAATATTGCAAACAATGCCTGGCATGCAGTAAATGCTCAATTAATACTTGTTGAATAACCCTCTGAAGGTTCCATACTCTCTAAAGTAAGAATATCTTCTTCATACTCTCTGAAGTATGTCTTCTCACTATTCCCGTTTATAGGATATTGGAAAAAACATAGCATCAAGTCATCATTTTTTGCTGGTTTAGCAAATTTGAACAGTTCAGTTTTTCATTAGTATATTGAGGATAATAATAATCCCTGCCTTACAAGGTTAATGGAAGAAAATACATGAAAAAGCACTTTCCAAATTCTTGTCAGCATTCTGAAGATGTTCATTAATCTCAACCTATTCTTAATCCTGTTCTTGGAGTGGCTAATGTGAACCATTGGGGGCTGCCAGCCTCAGTGGTATGGCCTAGAGAGCCCTGAGCTGTAAGGGAAAAGCATGGAACTTTAAGTACAAGGAGACATGGAAACACCACAGAGAGGTAGAACTCCCAGCCGAGGGGGAGGTAGAGGAGCTCTGGAAATGACCACCTTTCTCCCTGGCCTTAACATGTCTCTTCCTCCTGGGTCCTCCATGGTGCTCAGGACCAGCCCAGAAAGGGTTCACCGGTAGAGAGCTCCTGGCACTGAGGAAGAAGAACAAGACACTGTGGACAATGTTCTCCCTTTGTTTCATGGTCTTGCTCACTTTGGCCTCTCAAATAACTCCTATCAAATCAACTTTTAGTTGATTAAGTACCTGGGATACCACATTCTTATAGCTCTAAAGACACTGCCGAGTTGTGAGAATGCAGGGGGAGGCAGAAGACCCACAAGGTCGGATTTTCCTGATCATTTTTGAGTAACAGGCCTTTCTGTGATCTCATTAAATCACACACACAGTCTCAATCCAGAAAATAGATCCCATCATATGTGATAATCAAAACCTTGGGCTTTCCTTTCAGTTGTAATCTTTTCGGTATTACCTCCAGCTGAGTCTGCAGCTAGGGGAAGCCTGAGGTCCTGGAAAGGAAGCATGAGGCTTTTCTCCTTTATCGCCTTATGCTTTCACTCCTCCTCCCCATGATGTTGATGGAAAAGTTTCTAACCCTTTCAGAAAATTATATTTTCTATATTTGAAAAGCTTGACTGAGGTATATGCAGGAAGTTAAGAGACTCACAAAATGTTGAAGGGACATTAGTAATTAATTAATCCTATTTGCTTATTTTACAGGAGATCTAAATTCCTGCAAGAATTATCAGAAAATATACAAAGAGATGAATAACTGAGTTTTTAACTATAATATTAGATAATAGTATGAATATTTCTTAAATTTATAAGAAGGCAGAACTGGCTTTCATTTAATATATGTATTACAAGAATTGGAAAGCTAAAAACCACATTTCTAAGACTCTGTTACAGTTAGGGCTTGGATGCAATTAGTTTTGCCAGTGATATAGTCATCTAGGCTCAGAAGGCAAAGGGAAGCTAAAGCTAAATTTTTGTTACAATGTTGATGGGCAAATATAGTCCAACAGGTGTGCTTTCATCAGCTGAACTCCATGTTCCACACTTTAGCCCCCCAGTTTGTATGTTGGAGGCATCTGCAGTGATAGAAGCAGTTTCCTGCCCTCTGGATAGTAGCTCTAGTGGTGTAGGTCTAGGAGGTTCCTGCAGCAATCTCCTAGTTTCTGCTTATTTCAGCTCTTTGACCTTTTGCAAGCACCGAATTCCCTGTATTATACACCTTTCTTCAGGAAATATAGTGTTTTTTATCTCCTGCACTAAATCATGAGCATATGCATATAAATCATAATATGAAATCTTAAAAAACAGGAGTACTTTTGCTGAAGCATTAAGCATATAATCAGTCAGCAGGTCCCCAAACATCTAATTCCTGAATATCTCATATATCCTGTCTCTATTATCCATTTCTCTGATGCTACTCTAATTTAAGTCCTCAGCCTCTCTGGCCTAGATTGTTGAAATAACATCTTGGGTTTTTGGTCTCCTTGATTTTAGTCACCATCTGCTCCAGTCTCCATGTGAATCTGATCTGGTCTGATGTTGTCACTTCCTTGTTCAAAATTCTCGAATGGACAATCATGATCCAGAAGGTGGTATCCAAACCTGTGATTGCGGCACTTCAGTATCCTTCATAACCTGGGTCCTGTATGTTTAACCCATATTCTGCTATTCCCATCACCTATGGTCCAGCAAAACTGAACTAATTATAGTTCCCCCATCATGTGTTCTTACTTTTCTATGCATTTGCACATATTTTTCTCTCTGCCTGTTTTCTATTTCTTGTCCCTTATCTGTCTGGAAAGCATCTATTCTTACTTCAAGACTCAGCTTGAAGGAAGAATGATAGAAGTGCATGATTTAGTGCGCTCTTCTCACGCTCCTTGAAGCCTCTCTTATTCTTCCTCCAGGTGGACTTAGATTTTTCTTCCTACATGCTAGCATTACACTGAACCATACTTCCACTGTGACATTTATCATCTGTCTCGCCACTAGACTTCATGGTTCTGGATGGAAAGCACTGTGTTTTCTCATCTTTGAATCCCCCAAAAGACTATTATAATGCTTGACATATAGAAGGCTGTCAGTACAGTAAAAGGAATGGCCAGAGGAAGGGAAGGAGGGAAACAGAAGCGGGAAGCACAGGTATAGAAACGTGAAGGAGCCAGAGACAAGCTTCAAAGACCACAATTCTATCTTTTGAGTTCACTAGTTTTACAAGCTCCTCTACTAGAGTTAGATCAGCAACTCAGATCAGGCCCTCCTAAGTTTCCAGAAATCTGAGCTACTTTTCACTGTTGGCACAACAAAACGTTTCATTATAGTCCAGGTGCATAGCCTTTGTTTATATATTCTATATTTCCAAAGCAAAAATAAATAAAATAATCATTGTTCCCCTAATCTCCCAGGAGTTTCACCTTACAGCTCCAGTGGCCATGGCAATCACTGTTTTATACTTTTTGTAACAAGAACCAGGGACTTCAGTCTTGCCCTTTTCCTACCCCCTTTCTTCTTTTTACTCCACCCACCCCTCCCCTGTTCTTCTCTTATCCCTACCACACTCAGTCCTTCGCTTTCAGATTTTACTAGGGCCCTATACCATTAAAAATACAAGGAAAAAAAGGAATTTTTACTTTAAGAATAACTCCTCCTCCTTTCCCAATTTTTACATCAAAAGATATTGTTAAATGCCATTCTCTTCCACATTTAGAGAACTGCAAATTCTCTGGAGAGAGAAAGGTGATTACTTAAGAGGTGAAGCATCTTAGAGCATTCAAAATAAGAAGTGATTTTGTACAGAGGATGTCATGCAGTAGGCTAAACGTCTATTTCCCATTCCTTTATTTGTTACCTCTGAGACCTTGAAGAAGTAGTTTCTAGTCTCGGCATGCCAAAGCTTCATCTGCAATTGAGAGCATTGGATTGATGATCTTCAAGGTCCTTCCTGCTCTAGCATTCACTGACTCTGCTATTTTTGACATATTGAATAATCAGAAGCAGCTAGTTTTAGTATCTTATTATAGCAAAAGTGGTAAAAATAATGAGCATGTACTATCAATGTGCATCTATGTCTTCTTATGTTTGAGTGAGGTTCCTGATACATAAACCTTGGCTGATAGTTTCTACTGAAAAAATCGTAAGTATTAAAGACACTCTTCTGAAGGTGTTCTCTCCAGACTCTCCTACAGGCAATCATGAGCAAGAGGGTTGGCATCATCGGAGCTGGAGTCAGTGGCTTGGCTGCCATACGGTGCTGTCTGGAGGAGGGGCTGGAGCCCACTTGCTTTGAAAGGAGCAATGATGTTGGAGGTCTGTGGAAATTCTCGGTGAGTGGCACATCATTGGAACACCAGTGAAAGGAGATGGGTTCCAGTGCAAATCAAATTTGGTCAATTCTAATTCAGATTTAGGAGGCAGGTCACAAAAGCTCCAGATCTGGAAAGTAAAATCTTACCTCTCCCATCATACTAATGCCCAAAAAACTATTTCACACCAGCAAAATGTGTCCTGACAAGGACATCTTCAGCTCATAAAACATCATCACCTGCATGGTGAAGTCCAGATCTCCAAGCTGTAAAGGGCACTAATGTTAGTAATTAGTTAAAAATGTACCATGGCCTTCCCAGGTAACTGAAACGATTCTATTCTTTATTGCTCTTAAATGCTAGGAACATGGTTGGAAAAGAGGCAAACAAACCTGGACTGAGATCCTGAGGTCAGAAGTCCTGAGTTCTAATTTCAACTTGTAGGTTTTCTAGGCAGATAGATTTCAGGCCAGTTGCTTTTGTTTCCCTGGACCTCAAATGCCCATTTGTCAAATGCAGAGGATATGATTCTATAATTAACTTACGTCTATTGAGCAGATAGAAATTATTATAGATGATGATTGTGTGTGATGTGCGTGCAGTTGTTGAATAGTCTATCGGCTCCAAATCCAAAGAGAAAATTTATGGTCTTTGCCATTTGGACTCACCGTAGAAATAATATAATTAGGAAATAGTCCTTGTAAACACATTTTTTTTTTTAAATTTCAAAGCCAAGTTTGGAGAAACTTCTAGTTCTTCTGTCCTGAATTTCCCAGTCATTGTAATCAGTTGTAGATGATACATATTTGGCTTGAAAACATTATATTCACATCATTCGTCTTGTAACTACTTCCTGTCCTGGTCTCAGTTATTGCCCTGCCTGCACCAATAGCCTCCTCCAACAGAGTATATTAGTGCTAACTTAGAACACATCTTTATTCTTCTCCAAGCTTTTTTTTAAAAAAATTGGTTTTGTAACCCTTAAAGCACTCCATGAGATATAAGGTCATTAATTTTTATTTCCCAGTAGGGGGTAATCAAGAGTTAATATTTTTCAAGAATTTAATTTTCCTTATTTACATTTGCTCAGGGAAATGTGGACAGCTTAGACTAAATCATAAAACGGCTTTCTACCATCTCCCTAGTAACAATTAAATTATGCTTGAGCATCTATTCTGGTAGTTTGTGCTAAGTACTGGAATGACAAATATGGAATACAATCACTCTTTGTAAATTGTTCCGTTTCATTTGATTAAGCAAACCATAATATAATTCCACAATCCTTTGATAGCAAATTGGCAAAAACTCATTTGATAGCATAATCTCTTCTGAAATCATAAGGTTAAAAAAACGTGAATTGGATCAACATGAGGCTAAGGCTCACTTTCTGTTGTACAGCAGAAATTTTATTGCATTTGACAGATTGCTGCCCCAGATCTGTCTAGGAGTGTTATGGAGCGAAATCCAAAAATGTACACGTTCCAAAATATATCTGGCCTAAGACTTTTAAATAAGAGATTACATAATCACGACAACAAGATAGACCTTGTCACCATCAATTCAATGGACAAGTACCTCGAGCTTTTAGAAGAGGGTGGACTACAGAAATCTTAGTAGGTCAAAGTAAACCTCCCACAGGGATGACACTTAGCCTTGAAGGATAACCCCAGACAAGCAAAATAGAGGACACCCTGTGACACAACTCCTAGAGAGTGCATTTCCCAACAGAGTCTGCGAATGGCACTCCATAGACCTATGAAGGCATTGGCTGTGTACCAGCACCAGGTAATAGAGACTAACAATCAGGAGGCACAGAAAAGACAATGAATATGGTGTGTGCAGAGAGGGATCCATGAGTTAGCTAATATAGCCAGATCAGAAAGTTTTTATTTAAGGAAGCAATAATATGATACGAAGATCAATAACATACAAAGTTGGATTCTGAGTTATCAATAAGATGCAAAGTTGGATTCTGAGTTATCCACAAGAGGAAATTCCTCTTTTCCATAAGGTCATGTCTGTAAGCAATATTCTACTCAAAGGCCTGGTGAGGAGATGGACCCATACAAATACTGAAAACTTTAGCCCCCTCCACACACCCCAACCCTTCCTTCTTTTGTTAGAAAAGTTGCTTGGCACAATATATAATGAGAGGAATTTTTTTTAACGTGTTACATAAGACTTTATCTTGCAAGCCTTTTTTAGAAGGTGTTCTAGCAGACAGAAACCTGATAATTCTGAACTTTTCACTATTTGCTTTTTCTGAGAAATGAAAACCAAATGGGATTTACATACTAGCAGGCTGAATGTGAGTGTGTCTTCAGTTTCATCCACTCCTAAATAGGGCCTCATGTCCTCAAAAGATTTTATTACTGCCTTAATAACAAGCTGCTTAACAGCCAAGTGTGAAGACTCACGCCCATTATCCCAGCACTTTGGGAGGCTGAAGCAAGTGGATCACCTGAGGTCAGGAGTTCCAGCCTGGCCAACACGAAAAAACCCCATCTCTACTAAAAACACAAAAATTAGTCAGGTGTGGTGGTGGGTGTCTGTAATCCCAGCTACTCAGGAGGCTGAGGCAGGAGAATCTCTTGAACCCAGGAGGCAGAAGTTGCAGTGAGCTGAGATCATGCCACCGCACTCCAGCCTGGGCAACAAAGAAAGACACCATTAAAAAAAAAAAAAGCTTAACAATAGGTTAGTAGCATTTTGATTGCAACAGCTGTAACCAGGACTATTTGAACTTTTTCCCACTCATTTATTCATTTATTCATTCGATGAATACATACTGAGTACATTATGTGTAGGGTACTATGTTAAGCATAGCTGCAGATAAGAGACCAGTCAGCACTGTAAAAGCAGTGAGAAAACAAGTATTAGAATAACTATAAGTGACTATATAATGAGGGCAGTAAGGATAATGGGAGCTTAGTAAAGCTAAAGATGATTTGGCAGTAGCTGAGAGGGAAGGTAAGGAAAGGCATGAGAAAGTTGAAGGCAACTTTTGAGCGTATTTCAAGGGCATATTTAGACAAGGAGATATGGGACTCATCAGCAGAGCTGGAATAGGAAAGAAGATCAAGGTAGACTGCTCAGATGCATGTACAACATTCTGAAATTAACCTCTGCCTTTGCCCTCAAGTTACTTATGTTCTCGTGGGAAAGATGAGAGATGAACACAGTTATCATCTAAGACAGATGGTGCCCACAGCTGCTTAGATCTCTGGTTCTAGGGCAAGCTCCCTCAGCTAGAGGCAGAGCCTAAGTTGAATTTCCTCCTTACTGGCTCAAACCACACCTCATATTGAAATAATAAAAATGCATGCTCCCTGGAGCAACTGACTTGTTATATAATACATTTGTTTTCTGTGTTTGTTTGGAGAACAGTGTTTTAGGAAAAATTCCAAGGAGCTGTAGTGTACATACTCTTCTCTCCTTGTGTTATAATTGCCTGGGGTCAAGGGGCATAAAAATATTTCAAGATGGAAATAGTCCAAGGCCTTAGCATCTGTTTCCCAGAACAGAGCCTCACATTCTTTAACCAGGCTCCATCCCACAGTTCAGCCCTGCCTCCTTTCAATGGGCAGCTGAAAAAAAAACGCCTTCCAACCTCTCCTCCTCCTCACAACCATCAGTAAAAGGCACTAGTTGTGGGTGAAAGGGAAGCACTCAGCCTGCCAAACTGCTGGGCCTGAGCCTTCACCCTTTTCCTGACCTCCACAAACACTTTTAAAAGTTTAAATTCCTGTGCTTCCATGCTTATGAGAAATACAGCAACCATGAATAGAGGAATATTGGGTTTTCAACTTCAGAAAAAATACTGAGGCTTCGGGCAGCCGCCTGCTTCCCCACTGGGACACAATCCTCTCAACCCTTTCCAGCACTTTTTGTCTCCCTCTTCCAGAGGTCATCTGGTGTGAGAGGGAGATACACATCTTGAATCCATCAGCAACGTGACATTCCATCTCTTTCCCCCATTGCACAAGAGTCCCTTCGGGAGCTCGGAAGCAGAAGCTGCCAGCTCTGAAATGTATGTTCAAGGCAGCACATTGTGTGCACTTTTACCCTCCCCTCACGACTGAGAGGAAATGTTTATTTTCAATGTAGCCTTTGACTGCCTCTAAAAGATAAGCCACTTTTCAATTACACAGAGGCTTTACAATGAAGTGCCAAGATCTAACACATGTTCTAAGGGCTCTGGTTTCCTGTGTTTCTTTGGTGAGGAGTGAAGGCCAGCAACTGGTAAGCCAAAGAACAGGGTTCATTTACAACAGAGCAGTGGTTGTCAAAGTGTGGTTCCTAAACCAGCTGCATCAGCATCACCAGGAACTTCTTAGAAATGCAAACCACCCCAGACTCTACCCGAGACAGATTGAATCTGAAATTCTAAGAATAGAGCCCAAGAATCTATGGTCTAAGGAGCCCTCCAGGTGATTCTGATTATGCCAAAGTTGGGAAACCACTTCAATATCGGGTTGTTGCCAACGAAGAGTTTGCTAAACTCCAATAGCAAATATATAGGCTGGAAGTCAAAGCCTCCTGTAAACTGTTTTGTTTTTTGTTTGTTTGTTTGTTTTAACCTGAGTATAAGGTCAGAACCAGTGGTGGCACAGGAAAAAGCAAAAACCACTAAGTGACTATAAAGACAGAGCTAACACTGAGTGTAATTACAGCAAGAGGATTCACGTAGAAAGATCTCCAGTTCTGTGCCAGGTGCTACGCGAAGGGCTTTCCATTCCATATCTTACTGAGAGCTTTTAATTTTTGTTTATGCTTTTAAATATTAACAGGTTCTTTAGTCAACCAAGAATTAAACCGCTGTGTTCGCTGAAGGGAACACAATTCTTGGCTTTCTCTTTAAGCTTTCTTATTCTCCCTAGGACCACACAGAAGAAGGCAGAGCCAGCATTTACCAGTCTGTGTTCACGAACTCTTCCAAAGAAATGATGTGCTTTCCAGACTTCCCTTACCCAGATGATTACCCAAACTATATGCACCACAGCAAGCTCCAGGAATATATAAAGACATTTGCTCAAAAGAAGGATCTTTTAAGATACATACAGTTTGAGGTAGGGGCGTCATAACTTGTACTGTTGAAATTAATATACGTGTAGATTAGAGAAAAGGAGACAGCAAACTATTATAAAAATTAGAGCCAAATGTTTGGGCACCTCAGTAATCAAAGGTTGGCTCTGATTATAAAGCATTCATGCATTGATTTTTTTTTCTACTAGACTTATTAGTCCACTACTCCCTGAGAGCTTTCAGACTACCTTAGAAAATGGAGGCAACTATCCCGTCATTGTCCACTTTCCACCCTCATGCTCTGATGTTTTGGAAATAATCCAAAATTCTTTAGTATATATTAGGAATTTTGTCAGTTCAATGCCAACGAGTTGTGGTTCAAAAAACCACAGCATTTGGTAGGAATTCTCCCATTACATTATGAAAAGGTTAACAACTTAAATGGGAAATATAGTCATTGCCCCCATTTTTACCCACTCGGTTCGTAAGTTTTTTTTACTAAAAAGACTTAAGATTTCAGCATTGTTTCTGTGAGAATAATGTTTTACATTTGTTTGGGACTCTTTATTGAGCATTTCTGTCCATATGTTTGGAACTCAATTAACTGCTGTTAAATGCAGAACACATGCATATAGTGGGAAAAACAATCAGCAGAATTATGAACTGTGATGATATTTGCATCATTCTTTTACCTGGAGTAGTCCCAAATGTATAGTGAAAATAAAATTTTCCAATAGTCATTTTATTCCATTCATTCATTACATTCATTTGCTTCCATCACAGTATTAATATCAACAAACATTAATGAAGTTCCTACTGTGTGCTAGGATTGTGCTATGTGCTACATGTAAAAGAAAAAGAGGTCTAAGACTCAGCTCTCAAGAAGTTATTTCAAAATAAATATATAAAGAGTAAGTAATAAGATTCCAGTAACAATTTCAAACAAAGAGAAAACTTTTTAAAGCTATCTATGATTTGTTTATAAATAAAACAATGCTATGGAGATCATGAAGCAAGAGGCAACACTTTGGGGGAAGGTATTTTCTACAGGAGGTAAAATTTAGTTGTATTTAGTAGGTGTTTTAGATAAATGAGTGGCATGAGTACAATTAGAGAGGTGGGAAAATGCCCTGCTCATTTGGAGAACAGTGGGCAAACCAAGTTGGCTAGGAGGGAGATATATCTGCTAAGATGAGATATGGCCACATATATCAGTAAACTAGTGTGTAAATACTGTGATTTTGAAAAACAGAGGATTATTTTGCAACCATGTAAAACAAGTCCAAAGATGGGACACCCAGAGCTTCTGTGATGGCACCAAAGTCATCAAAGATTCAGCTTCACCCTTCTTAGCATGAGGCCTACATCATGAGGTTTGCCTTGTGGTCCGAAACAGTTGCTGAAGCTGGAGTCATCACATCTGCCTTCTAGGCCAAAAAAAAAAAAAAAGGAAAGAATGAAGGGCAAACGGATGTTCTCCCAGCTGAATCAGCTCCCCTTTTACAAATTCTCCTGAAAAACCTGTCCAACATTGTCTGCTTATATCTCACAGGCCACCCTAGTTGCACAGGAACCTGGAAAAGGCATCCCTTTGCTGGGTATGTTGTCACTCCAAACAAAATCAGGGTTCTGTTAGTAAGAATGAAGGGAGAATGGACATTAGGGAAGCACTCTGCAGCATATGTTCCAGAAAAGTCTGTGGGAATAACAGAAAATAAAACCAAAAGAGTACATTGGAACAAAATTGCATGGACTTAATAGTAATCGCATTTGAAATGTAGAATAAGTTTTAGAGGCTGTGAAGTAACAGAAATTGAGCAGGAGACATGAAATGAATATGGTCCTTTAGAAAGATTAATCTGACAAGCAGGACAAAGGATGGCTTGTAGGAAATGGGAGGTTGAAGACAGGCTAGTTATAGGTTTTTGCCATAGTCCATGCAAGGGAGTGATAAGAACTTGAATGAAGGCAGTGTTAGCAATCATGGAAAGAAAGCGTGAGATTGGGAGAGAAATTATTGTTTAAACATAAGGCAAGGATGGAGAAATAACAAGGAAAAGAAGTCATGGATTTGAAGCATAAGTGGCTGGGAGGTTCATGTCATCATTCAAAGAAATAAAGTCAGAAGCCAGTTTCAAAGGAAATTTAAGTAGGTCAATCAAAACCTGCTACATATGAGGAAGTATTAGGTGGCCCTCCAGATGGAAAGGTCAAGCTAAACTGGATAGAAGAGAAACCAAGGATAGATGTATTTGTATATTCATACCATGAAAGTTGCTAATATTTCTAAGGTAGAGTATTTATGCAGAGCAAAAGAGATGCCAACGATCAAACCTTGAGATAGTCCCATATTTATTGAGTAGATGGAACACGAGGTCAGAAAAGGAGGAAGTCAGTAGAGGGTAGCCATAAGAAAGTAACACAGATTTGTTAGATGACATCATTCACAAAAATATTCAGTGTGATTTACCCCTAAATCTACTAACTTGATGTCAAAAAGTAAATGTACTCCAGTGAGTAATTTTTCTTGTGAGATTCAAATACTCACTGAAGATTCACTGTGACTCCAATTTTAATATCTTTCTATACATCTCTGAATGACCAAGAGAGCTCATAACAGTTATTTCTTCCACAGAAACAAGGCAAAAAGGAAAAAAATTTTCACATACAGAATTGTAAATAGAAAAATAAATTTTCTGGTTTTCTTTAAGACCCTGGTTTCCAGTATAAAGAAATGTACCAGCTTCTTAGTCACGGGCCAATGGGTTGTTGTTACTGAAAAGGATGGGAAACAGGAATCTACTATTTTTGATGCTGTAATGATTTGTTCAGGACATCACGTATACCCCAATCTGCCAACTGATTCCTTTCCTGGTAAGTTTGAAAAATATATAATAATCTGGGGACTTTATATGCAAACCTCAAGAGTTAGACACATATATTTCTATAGATATTATATAATGATTATTCTTAAAGTCCCAAAGATTTCAAAAGAAAAAAAATTAAGTTTAATGATAGGATAGATGTAGTAATAAATAGCTTCACAAGTCCTTATATTAAAATAATCAAGGACCTGCAAGCCAGAGATCAGACAAACACAAGTTCCTATTTTACAGACAGTAACTGAAATATAAGTTCTGACAGCACACGGGATCTCCGAGCACAGTTACATTCAAAAAAAGGAGTCCAACTGCCAAATGGCTTATGTTATTTATAGGAGACTCCTAAGTTTCTAATTTCATCTTCATCCACAATTTGCAAATAAACTTTAGAAATCTCAGTGATTTGTGTGTGGGTACACGCATGGGTGTGTGTATAGCAGCATGCTTCGTTACCATCCAAAAGTGGCAAACCTCAAATAAATACAACATATAGGTGCCTTCCATGCCACAGGAACACAGTCTACTGTTCCTGTGGCATGGAAGGTAGGGCTGTGCTACTAAGTCAGCAGCCAAGGCACTAAGGATGGTACTTACATGTCACATCACAAGAGATCCACTTTTTGTATGTGGCCCTTTAAATCAAGGAGGACTTGAGACATCCTCCATGTGAAGCCAGGTAATGTGGCCCATGCTAGTAAGGAAGTACATTCCATTGAATCCAAAGATAAGTGCATGAGTGTGTGTATGTATAGGTGAGTGTGTATGTGTCTATTTCTTGTTTTCATTTTATATTCTGATCACCTCCAAATAGACTAGTTCCTGGTCAGACTTAATCTTTATTTATTTAACAGTATTAATTACAACCTATCATGCAAAAAGCACTGTGTTTACCACCCTGAAGTTCTGAAAGATATGCATGATTTGGTATTTACTAACATTAATTCAATCAACAGCAGGTGCTTAACAAATATTGGGCACTTACTATGCTTACTATGTGTCAGAACTATGAAAAACTAAAAATAAATGCATAAATAAGTTAAGCTAGTTCCTGACTTCAAGGAAGAGTCAATGGATGGAGATGAGGTTCGCAGGTACACACAGACTATTACCAAAGGAGGTAGTGAGTCTTCCAGTAGAATTAGGTGTGGCAATAGCAACACAGGGAAAAGAGAATCTAACTTAGCCTGGATAAGGTCAAGGAAGACTTCCCAGAGGACTCCAAGCTGAATCATGTATCACCGATAGACCCTAAAGAAACAACATATTTTTAAGAAAATAGGCTCTCAATAAATAAATTCTTAAAGGGATATAAATAAAACCTAAATTTTTTAAACTAAAAATTTCCTTCAGTTATCACAAAGTTAAAGTCTATTTTGCAAAGATAGTAAAATAGATAAGCAGCCAGACTTGTCTCAGGGCTGAGGCGGTTGCCATGGTTTGGGTTGCTCAGGAGAAGTCCTTGGGGTATGTGTATAGGGAGAACTGGAAAAGACAACCAGGGACAGAGAACAGAATTAAATCCTTGACATCTTATCAGCCTAATTTCAGCTAGAGATTAGCTACATTTTTCCCCCACCTAGCCCACTATCACCAGCCACAGCCACTGGGGCTCACTGGATCATCTGGTCCCTACCAGACTTGCCATGTTAGTCTATGAGTACGTGAAGATTAAACCATCACAGTTGAACACAGAGCCCTATTGCTCTTAGAGGTATGGTTCTAATCCTTTCAACAACTACACACCAGCCCTCAGGGGTGGTGAGAGAGTCCTGTCTCTACTAGTTTAAATTTTAGACTTAAAAAAACTTTTTTTTTATTTTAAGTTCTGGGATACACGTACAGACCATGCATAGGTATGCATATGCCATGGTGGTTTGCTGTGCCTATCAATCCTTCATCCAGAGTTTAAGCCCCGCATGCATTAGGTATTTGTCTTAATGCTCTCCCTCCCCTAGCCACCCACTCTCCCGACAGGCCCCGGTGTGTGTTGTTCCCCTCCCTGTGTCCATGTTTTCTCATTGTTCAACTCCCACTTATGAGTGAGAACATGCGGTGTTTGGTTTTCTGTTCCTGTGTTAGTTTGCTGAGGATGATGGTTTTTATAGCTTCATCTATGTGTCTGCAAAGGACATGAACTCATTCTTTTTTATGGTTGCTAATCAATTTATTTAGACCCACCTTTTAAAAGTGTTCCTACTTGGATATTGAGGAAAATGCATGGAAGTGCCCAAAGAAGTGTGTTGTGTTTGCTTATTTCTTACAGAGTGATACTGAAATCTGTGTTGCCTTTCCCCACCAGGTCATTATCAGTACCAGAAGTGGTTCCTGGGTCATGAGTCGGGTCTGGGATGATGGCTATCCTTGGGATATGGTGTACGTTACCCGCTTTGCATCCTTTCTCCAGAATGTCCTTCCTTCATTCGTCTCTGACTGGTTATATGTCCAGAAGATGAACACGTGGTTTAAGCATGAGAACTATGGCCTGATACCTTTAAATGGGTACTTAAAAATAGAATTTTTTTTTCAAAAATGGGGGCACTCATTTAAGTGAATTTATTCTCTCTAGAACTTACTTTTGTTGTCTCATTGAGCCTAGTAACATTAAACTAAAGGTTTCACAGGTGACAGGATATACCCAGAGACCATGCATGGCTTGGAAACCTTATTGAAATTAGTCCAGTACAGAAAGGGTATAGAAAAACCTGAAATGGAGATAATGCTGGCAGATAAATCACCCTGCCATGCATGATTCATTTGTGGTAGCTACAAGCTAACACATAGAACTTTGAAGCCTGAACAAACTTAAATTGGTTTTTTGGAAGAATATCTTGTCCATGCTTATGGGTGAAAGGGGATATCAATAATAATACCTGCTTCTCAAGATGGTTGTGGTATTCAGTAATACAAAAATATAAAAATTGCTTTGTAAATGATAAAGCTTTAAAAAAATTGGTTCTTCTTAGTCTCAAATTTTTTAATGTGCTTCAAAGGAGCAAATAACAAAACGGTGTTAATCAACATGTCTCAGCAAGTAGGACATCTCAAAACAAAAGTGCACACTTCTTCCACCCCGAAATGCTGACATTTTTGCAGAACCGTAAGGAGGCATGGAACACGTAAAGCAATGGAGAGTCACAGAACTAACACGGCCCGTAAGATTAGTCAGTTCATTTATTTACTTCTTTATAGAGACAAGGCCCAACACTTACTAATTAGGAAGGTTACTCCAGGCAGAAGAACCAGCATATCAATAGAAAAAAAGAATATTTAAGTTGATAAGAAAAGAAAGAACTGAGAAATTTTATCTCCTAGCCCATGCTAGCCAAAAGTTTCATTGTGTTTAGAGAAAGGTTAAGAAAAAGGAGGAACTGCAAATCAAAAGAACAAATGCCGGATTTAGGAGCTAAACTGTCAATCCAAAGCACTTATTCTACCAAGTCATGCAGACTGCTATAACTCTAAAAAAAAATGTTGATTTTGTGCATTTAACACTGGGGCCTGCTTGAGGGTAGAGGGTGGGAGGAAGGAGAGGATTAGAAAAAATACTTATCAGGTACTATGCTTACTACCCAGGCGACGAAATTATCTGTACACCAAACCCCTGTGACACAGTTTACTTATATAACAAACCATGGACCCCCAAACCTAAAATAAAAGTTTTTAAAAATTATGCTTAATATAAGTCCCATAGCTTGAGCTGGTTAAGATTTTTTTATCTTGTAAGAGTATCTATAAATTATATTTTGGCCTTTCCATTTTGACAATTAAAACATAGTTTTGGAGATTCATTCATTCTAAAAACTAAGCTTCCTTTTGGAAAGGATTCCAATTACCCAAAGTTTCTGGAGGGAGAAAGGGGGAGAAAAAACAGGTTTCATTGCAATCTATGTTTTGCTACCTTGTAAGGTAAAAGAAGAGGTTGCAGGATTAGATAGACAGAAAATGATATGGAAGTAGAGACACATTTCAGGATTTGCAAAGTTTGTGTCTGAGATACTTGCAGGAAATTCCAGAATCTCAAAGGAAACTTAAATCAAAATGAAATATATCGTCCTGAAAAATATTATTCCTAGAATTTTGGCAACTAAAATGCAATATCAACGTTGTTATACTTTTTTGTGGACACAGCTGATGAAAGAAAACCAAACATGGCAATAAAACTTCCCACCACTGCAAGTTTGACTTCCCCCATGTAAGCAAGACCTTAAAGTTATGATAATAGTGCACTTATAACAACAGTGCTTGCATGTACCAGGAACTGTTTTAAGTACTTTAAGGATAATTGGTCATTTAATTTTCACAACAACCTATGAGGAAGATTCCATCACCATCCCCAATTTTACACATAAAGAAACAAATACAGAAAAGTAACAACTAGTAAGAGATGGAGCTAGGTTATGAACCTGGGCCATTTGCTTCCAGAGTTGGCATTCTTAACCACTTTATGTCTGTAAATTAGTTTTATTCTCATTTAGGAAAGGAATTGCCATGAGAGAAGAGAGTTCAATAGCACTCATGCTGATGTTTAACTGCTCGATGTCATTTCAATGTTATGGGCTATTGCAGGTATGTCTTGGAAATGAGCTATTTATAGCAAGGATGTTTGCCTCTCATTTCTGTAGTTCCCTGAGAAAAGAGCCTGTGTTCAATGATGAGCTCCCGTCCCGCATCCTGTGTGGCCTTGTGTCCATCAAGCCCAGTGTGAAGGAGTTCACAGAAACCTCAGCTGTGTTTGAGGATGGGACCATGTTTGAGGCTATCGACTCTGTCATCTTTGCAACAGGCTATGATTATTCCTACCCCTTCCTTGATGAGACCATCATAAAAAGCAGAAACAACGAGGTCACCTTGTTTAAAGGCATCTTTCCCCCACTAATGGAGAAGCCAACCTTAGCTGTGATTGGCTTGGTTCAGTCCCTTGGAGCTGCCATCCCCACAGCAGACCTGCAAGCCCTCTGGGCTGCTAAAGTATTTGCAAGTAGGCGGGCCATTCTATCTTTCATTCATTTTATCAATGAACATTTATTGAACATGTGCTATATGCAAAGCACTGTGCTAGGGATACAAAGAGAACAAGACAATCATGTTCCTTGACCTCTCAGAGCTTAAAACGGGTTGTGGAGGATGCCATAATAGGGAAATTTGGGGGGTTCTAGCGAGAGGAGTTGGACAGTGAGTTATTTTACACAGAGCAAACAGCATGCAGGAAGTCATAAAGGTGAGGAAAAGCATGAAATGTGTAAGGACCCAGAAACATTTTGGTGGGAAGGGAATATAAAGCAGAGGCAGGGAGTGGCAAGAAATACAGGTATATAAGTCATGTTAAAGAGCTTAAACTTCTCATAGGGATTTAGAAGGACTTTGCAAGATTTTAAGCAAGAAAAAACTAGCAGAGGATAACTGCAATGTCAGGCTACATTATGAAGGTTGGAAGGGCCCTGGTGAGTGTTGGAGGTATGCCAGAAACCTCACTGGTGTCAACTTCTGTCAGAATAACAAAGTCAGGCCACTCTGATTCTCGTGACAATCTTCTTCTTCCCTCCCTCTACTCTAGACCTCATGGTCTCCAGGGACTACAAGTAGGCTTATGTGAGGAAATCAAGAATATGAGGATGACATAGAGAAAGGCAATGTCTCAAATATATTGATTTAATTTACTCCAGTCATACTATTATTATCATTATTACTAAAAATGTTCTTTTACTCAAGTATTCTCCAAAATATTGAACAATATAGGTATAACTTACCCAACATAACTAATCTATAAAAACTTACACTATTGGTAATTAGTAAAACATAACAATCATGAAATATATATCTATTATCTAAAATTTTTGTGGATAAATTTCTATTTCACATATACCATGAAATATCATTATTTAAATAAACCCCATCATTAAATATTTTGTAAACGTGCTCCCTGCAAAATACTTCCATTGCCTTTTTCCTTTGAAAGGCACAACAATGCCAAGAGCCTGAGGTATTATGAGAAGACTGGATACAGTTCATAAACCTAGGACATTTTCATGAAGCAAATGGTATCATTTATTTATTCCACAAATATTTACTGAACACCTGCTATGTGTTAGACTCTAACCTGGCATTTAGGACACAACAACAAATGAAGCAGAACAAAAATCTGGCCTCGTACTTTCTAGCAGGGTGTCCAGCCAATATCAATCATAGGTTACTACCAGGCTGACATAAGAGCCTAACGATGACTGTGAAGTGTTCATGCATTGCAAATTTTAAAGCAACTTTCATCCATTGTTACAAAGGCAAATAAGTTACCATCATCAGTTAAAAGAGGTTGCATTGATGTAGTGAAATTTGCAAAAAGCTAAAAAGTGTCTACTGCCCCTTAAAACACTTTAAATAGCTGCAGAAGATCTTTAAAATCCTATGCTTCCTTCCATTTTCTCATTTTAAAATGCCAGAAACCTTAAAGGGAACTGTTTTACCAGATTCTTTCTTCAGAGAAGTTTTAGGAAGAAGATATAGAAAAAAAAAAAAAAGGAAGAAATTATTAAGCTATTATATGCATGAAGTGTACTGAGCACATGTGTTGAGGATTAGGTCCTCCATAATGTTACAGAAATAAGAGACTGAGTGACTTGAAGCTACGACTGTCTCTGCTGTCCCTATCTCACTACAGGCCAGCTTTGCCATTCCCAAAGAAGGTCCATTAACTTTTCAGGTCTTTGTTTCTATGAACTGGTATTTTGCTAAAAATATCAAAGACAGCTCCTCTTGATACAAAAATTTTCAGGAATACAGTTCATAAAAACCAAATGAATTCCATCATATGTCATTATGCATTTCTGATGTCTTTGTGTTTTTCAATATTTTTCTCTTCATTTCTTTTCTAGACTCATGTACCCTGCCAACTATGAATGAAATGATGGATGACATTGATGAGAAAATGGGGGAAAAACTCAAGTGGTAAGCAATTGTACTTGCTAATAGAGCAAGTCCTAAAATGTGCCTTTATATGCAGAAAAACATTTATATGCTCTAAATATTGTCATTAGAGTTTACATTTTTCGAACACGTGCAATAATCAAACAATATTTAGAGAGTAAACAGTCATTACACTTCTTTTGTGTAACTCAAGAATAGAGGTTTTCTATCAGTGATAATTTTGCCCTCCAGAGGACATATGGCAAAATCTGGAGACACTTTTGGTCATTGTGAGTGGAGAGGGCATGCTACCAGCATCTTATGGGTAGATAACAGGGATTCTGCTAACCATCCAGCAATGCAGAGCACAGTCCACCAAAACAAATAATTATCTGGCTCAAAATGTCAATAGTGCTGAGGTTAAGAAACGACTCTATAAATGACTACAGTTGACCTTTGAACAACACAGATTTGAATTATATGGGTCCACTTATACATGAATTTTTTTCAATTAACATATGGCAGGCTGGGCACGGTGGCTCGTGCCTGTAATCCCAACACTTTGGGAGGCTAAGGCAGGCAGATTCCCTGAGGTCAGGAGTTCGAGACCAGTCTGGCCAACATGGTAAAACCCTGTCTCTACTAAAAATACAAAAAAAATTAGCTGGGCACGGTGGCGTGCGTCTATAATCCCAGCTACTCAGGAGGCTGAGGCAGGGGAATTACTTGAATCAGGGAGGTGGAGGTTGCAGTGAGCCGAGATCGCACCACTGCACTCTAGCCTAGGTGACAGAGTGAGACTCCATCTCGAAAAAAAAAAAAATGCAATTTTTTGGAGATTTGCAGCAATTTAAAAACCTCAAAGATGAATTGTGTAGCCTAGAAATATTGAATAAATTAAGAAAAAGATGGCATGTATAAAATATATGTAGATACTAGTCTGTTTCATCATTTACTACCATGAAATATACACAAATCTATTGTTAAAAAATTAAAATTTATCAAAACTTAATGCATACAAACTCTAACAGACTATACATGGCACCATTCATAGCCAAGAGAAATGTAAACAAACAAAGATGCAATATTGTCATAATTGCATAAAATTAATGGTAGTACATGATGTACTAGTATAATAATTTTGTAGCCACCTCCTGTTGGTATTGCAGTGAGCTCAAGTGTTTTGAATATCTACTTAAAATTCTGTGTGACATTAATTATTTTCACCTGAGCAGCTCATAGCTCCAGTAAATTCTGCATCACAGTAAAAAGTGATCTCTCAAGGTTCTCACATATTTTTATCACATTTAGTGCAATACCTTAAGCCTTTAATAACACCATGGGCTCCATATGAAGTGTCATTAATGATGTTGGAAGTGCTCCCAAGAAGCAGAGAAAAGTTATGACATTATAAGAAAAAAATTGAGTTGCTTAATATATACTATACATTGAGTTCTGCAGCTATAGTTACCCACCATTTCAAGATAAATGAATCTAGTGCAGCTATGCCAGCAGTCATGACATCTTGCACTTTTTGTAAAATATATTTTTATTTTGTATTGAAAATGCGGCTTTTTATGTGGGTTCAGGATTGCTATAAGAAAGTATACATATAGATTCTAATATAATTTGAGAAAAAGTGAAGTCATTATATGACAAAGCAAAAGGAAGGTGAAGGATCTAAAGCTGGAAAATTTAATGCCAGCAAAGGATGATTTGATTATATTAGAAAGAGCTTTGGCTTAAAAAATGTCAAGATAACAGGAGACGTGCTTGCTAACAACCAAGAAGGAGGAGATGAATTCCCAGATGCCATTATGAAAATCATTGAGGAGGAAGGATATCTGCCTGAACAGATTTTTAATGCAGACAAAAGTGCCCTATTCTGGAAAAAAAAAAAAAAGCAAGTCACAAAGGCCATTTATTAATAAGGAGGAGAAGTGAGCACCAGGATTAGGGAGGGAAATAATAAGCTAACTACTGTTTTGTGCAAATGCAGTCAGATTTATGATCAGGACAACCCCTATCTATGAAGCTACCCCCTCAAGCCTTGAAGGGAAAAGATGAATATCAGCTTCCTCTCTTTTGGTTATACAAGACCCTTTTTCTGGATTAGCTCTGTCAATGCTTTGTCCCTGAAGTCAGAAAGTCCTTGCCAATAAGAGACTGCCTTTTAAAGTTTTTTTTTGATATAGACAATGCCCCTGACCACCCAGAACCCCATGCGTTCAACATCGAAGGCATCTAAGTGGTCTAATTTCCCCCAAACACAACATTCTAATTCAGCCTTTATATCAGGGAGTCATATGGATCTTTAAGGCTCATCACATACCGTACTCTATGGAAAATATTGTCAATGCTGTGGAAGATAACCCCAATAGAGAGAACATCATGAAAGTCTGGAAGGATTATACCACCGAAGATGTCCTAATTATTACAGAAAAAGCCATGAAAGCCATCAATCCTAAAACAACATATTTATCCTGGAGAAAACTATGTCCAGATGTTATATATGACTTCAGAGGATTTACAACAGAGCCAATCTTGAAAAAGATTGTGGATATGGCAAAATAAAAAGGCGAGGATGAAGGGTTTCAAGTTATGGATCATGGAGAAATTCAAGAGCTAATAGACACCACTAATAGACACTTTTAATTCCACACTAGAGGAACTAAAAGATGACTTGATGGAGATGAGTGCTTCCAAAGCAGTGCCATATGAGAAAGAAGATATAGAAAAAGCCATGCCAGAAATAAATTGACATTAGATAATCTGGCAGACGGGTTCCAGTTATTCAAGACTGCTTTTGACTTCTTTTATAACATAGACCCTTCTATGATACAGGCACTGAAACTAAAGCAAATGATAGAGGAAGGATTACTACTATATAGAAAATCTTTATAGAAATAAAAAAGCAAAAGTCAGACGGAAATTATAATGTATTTCCATAATTACACCAAAGTGTCTGCCTCTCCTGCCCCCAATTCTACCTCCTTCATCTCTTCCACTTCTGCCACCCCTAAAACAGCAAGACCAACCCCTTCTGTTTCTCCTCCTCCTCCTCCTCAGCCTACTCAACATAAAGATGATGAGGATGAAGATATTTATAAGTCACTTCCACTTAATGAATAGTAAACATATTTTTTCTTCCTCATAATTTTCTTAATAACATTTTCTTTTGTCCAGCTTACTTTATTGTAAGAATAGCATTTAATACATATGATATATAAAATATGTGTTAATCAACTGTTTGTGTTATTGGTAAGGCTTCCAGTCAACAGTAGGTTAATAAGAGTTAAGCATTTGGGGAGTCAAAAGTTACACATGGATTTTTGACTGCAAGAGGACTCAATGCCCCTAACCCCTGAGTTCTTCCAAAGTCAACTGAATATAGGGAGTTTCTTTACTTTTTCAAACATTTAACATGGCGTTGATATATCAACCTAAAGGAAAACACGGAGACAAATTTAATATAAAAAGAACTGATTTGGGCCAAGTTTGAGGACTGCAACCCAGGAGCACAGTCAAATTGCCCTGAATATACACTCCATTAGCAGCAGTTACAAGTAGGTTTTTAAAGGAAAAACAAGAGTCAACTTCTAAGTTGTTTACCAAGAACTTACATTAAAATTATATAAGCTATTGATTGGCTATACACTGTTCTTTGTATCACAAATTCCAGGAACATGAAGATGATGGGTGAGACAGCTAGTTAGGAATCAAAATGCCTTTTAACAATTGCCCCCAGACATTGGTAGAGGGCAGCATGACAAGTCCCATACGCCTGGCTATCTGAGCTTGATAAATTTTGCATACCCCACATAGCGCAGACTACTCTGAGCTATTTTTCTTCTCTCACATTGAATGCCACAATGTAGTCACCCACTCAGGGCCTAGAGAAGAAAAGAAATGGAATCCTCAGATTCAACAAAACCTCCTCTGCTCAACTTCATCCAGTTCACAGAACACCTCTCAGAGCTGGGCACTTTTATGTGCTAACAATTCATGCAGTTTGATACCTTTTCCTTTAGAGCCCAGTAGGAATAAAGATGAGGAAACAGGTTAAAATGTTCATCTTATTGCTTAAATGATAAGCTGCTCTTCAGAGTTTCAAAAAGCAAATTAGGCCACGTTCCAACTAAAAGAACTATAGAGGCAGAAAGGGGGTGATCTCTTTTCTGTCATAAAAGGTAATGGCCAACACCCCTATAACAAAAGACAGGTTACAAGAGAAAAACATAACAGATTTATTATGTGCACATGTGTGCATAAGAGCCTTAGAAAACATGAACTCAAAGGAGGGCCAGTTCGTTCATGTTTAAATATTCTCTTCACTGGGGATAGGGGAGATGGAAGTGTAAAAGTAAATGATTTTTCAGAGGAAATTAATGAGTCCAAAGAACAGCAGCCCAGACCAAGTTTCTCTGTGCTTTGGGGGAGGTGTAATCACCCAACAGATTCATCTTGCTCACTGCCCAGAAAAGCTGATGCACTGAGAACAGCAGGTTTTTCCAATAGGGAGAGTTTAATAAACACACAGCTGTCAGAGGCATTTGAACCAGAGTGACTCCATCTTGAATAGGGGTTGGGTAAAATGAGGCTGAGACCCCTAGGCTGCATTCCCAGGAGGTTAGGCATTCTTAGACACAGGACGAGATAGGAGGGCAGCACAAGATTCAGGTCACAAAGACCTTGCTGATAAAACATGATTCAGTAATGAAGCTGGCCAAAACCCACCAAAACCAAGATGATGAAAAAAGTGACCTCTGGTCATCCTCACTACTTATTATATGCTGATTCTAATGAATTAGCATGCTAGAAGACACTCCCACCAGCACCATGACAGTTTACAAATGCCATGGCGATATCAGGAAGTTACCCTATCTAGTCTAAAAAGTGGAGGAACCCTCAATTCTGGGAACTGCCCATTTCTTTCCTGGAAAACTCATGAATAATCCACCCCTTGTTTAAAATGTAATCAAGAAGTAACTATAAGCATACTCAGTTGAGCAGCCCATGCCACTGTTCTGCCTATGAAGTAGCCATTCTTTTATTTCTTTACTTTCTTAATAAACTTGCTTTGACTTTACGGACTGGCCCTGAATTCCTTCTCGTGAGAGGTCCAAGAACCCTCTTTTGGGGTCTGGCCAGCTAAACAGAAGGACAGGAGTTTATTACTACTCAAATCAGCCTCCATGAAAATTCAGAGGCTAGGTTTTTTTAAGGATAGCTTGGTAGTCTGGGGCTAGGGAATGGGGAATGTTGATTGGTTGGATCAGGGATGAAACCACAAGGAGTCAAAGCTTGTCTTCTGGTCTTCCTGGGAGGAGACCACATGACAAGATGAACCAGTCCGGGTAGTGCCAGCTGGCCCATCAGAATGCAGGGTCTGAAAAATATCTTGAGCACCAATCTTAGGTTGTACAATGGTGATGTTATCCACAGGAGCAATTGGAGACTTCTGACTGCATGACTCCTGAGCCCTAATTTCTTACCTTGTGGCTAATTTGTTAGTTCTACAAGAGCAGTCTGACCCCCAAGCAAGGAGGGGGTTTGTTTCTGGAAAGGGCTGTTACCATCTTTGTTTCAAAGTTAAACTATAAACTAAATTTCTCCCATGGTTAGCTTGGCCTATGCTCAGGAATGAATAACGGAAACTTGGAGATTAGAAGAAAGATGGAGTGATTACATTTTTTTCACAGTCATGATATTTTTAAAGGTGATTTCAGAGGTAACATCACAGGATATAGGAGACTGAAGGGAGGAAAGCATGTCAAACAAAGGCTGTCCTGTTCTGCAGATGAAACCTCACAGAGAGCAGCTCTCAGAGTCAGTAGCCTATGATTAAAGTTTCTCTGTCAGACATTCAGCGGTGCCTGACTCTCAGTCTCTCTCTCCTGCGAGTTAATATTTCCTCGAGTGGGCAAGGGAGGCCTCCGAGAAACCTAGTTTCCATCTTCTGTTTACTTCCCTTTATTTTCCCCACAGATAAAAATCTCCTTCACAAAGGCAGCTTTTCAGGGCTATTTCTGTCTGCAGGCCCTCTGAATGGCCATCTCAAAATCTTTCGAGGAAGTATATATTTTGCAGTAAAATATTTTTTGTTTTCTTTAGTATGAAACAATGTATATTATTAGATTATAGAAGCATTAAAACCATCCATGATCCCACTTTTAAACAAACTAATCTGAAAGTCTAACATTGGGGCAGATTCTAAGCAATGTATTATAAAGAATAATGTGTTAATGAGTAAACTAAGTTAATTGGTCTCCTTAAACCAGAGGGTCAGTTTACTCCACACCACATGGCCAAAGGCAAAAGTCCAACATTACATCAAACTCAGATAGAGATTAGGAAGGAGGAGAAAAGCAGCTCGCTTAGCCAAAGAAAAAGCAATAAATTCAATTTTGTAGAAAAGGGGGGCATAAATGGAATTGCCATTTAAAGTATTATTTTTCTGAAAGAAAACATAAGAAATTAATGGTCTTAATTGCAACTGTAACACTTATTGCAGTATGTTCTCTTCTTTCCTCAGGTTTGGCCAGAGCCAGACTTTGCAGACAGATTACATCACATATATGGATGAGCTGGGCTCTTTCATAGGGGCCAAGCCTAACATACCATGGCTCTTCCTGACAGATCCCCGCCTGGCCCTGGAGGTGTACTTTGGCCCTTGCAGCCCATATCAGTTTCGACTGATGGGACCAGGGAAGTGGGATGGGGCCAGAAATGCCATCCTGACCCAATGGAACTGGACAGTGAAGCCAACCAGGACAACAGTTGTCAGTGAAGCTCAGCGACCCCACCCCTTTTACAATTTGCTTAAAATGCTTTCATTCCCATTACTCCTTCTGGCTGCTACACTTACATTTTATTAATGAGAAAGTCTTTGAGGTCTCAAAGTTCAGAGTAGAAGTGTAATCACACAATACAACACACACACACAATCACAACATAGTTCCTCTCTCCTTTCCTGAAGATATGAAAATCAGTCTTGGCCCATTTGAATTAAAGTATAAGTAAAATGGAAAATACTCAGCCGCTCTCTCTGTTGGGAATCTGTTCTCTAAAAGGCTTTTCACATGCTGAATTGGCAAATTTGGGGATGCTTAAGACAAGACAGGAAGTTGAATATGCATGAGCATGGATTTTCAGGCTGAACAAAGTTTAATAAAATGTAAAGGCATTTTATTTTGTCCATTATAGTATATCAACCAAATGTATTTTTCACATTAACCGAAGTTCTTGACATTAAATCAACATAGAGAGTTAAGTTCATACCAAGACAACAACAAAGATAAAATGAACACATTGCTTAAAAGATACATACTGCCAAAGCTCTCCCAAGAAGAAACATATAACCTGAATAGACCTAAATCTATTAAAGTACTTTAATTTGTAGTTTAAAAACTCTTCCACAAAGAACAACAGGCCAAGATGGCTTCACTGGTTAATTCTGTCAAACATTTAAGAAGGCAGGAGACCAATTATACACAAAATTTTCCAGAAGATTAAAGAGGACAGAATAAACCTCAGCTCATTGTACGAGGTCATCAAAGCCCTGACACCTAAACAAGACAAACACAATCTAAAAATGTAAAATATAGATCAATATCCTTCATGAAGATATATGCAAAAATTCTTAACAAATGTTAATATAATCCAACAGTATATAAAATAAATCACATAACCAAGTAAGAATTATTCTGGGAAAGCAATGTTGGTTTAATAGTCAATGTAATTCACCACATTTGTAAACTAAAAATAAAAAACCATATGATCATCTCAATAGATGCATAAAAAGCATCTGACAAAAGCCAACGTCCATTCCTGAAGAAAATAACAAAGTGATAGAAGGAAACTTCAACATGAAAAAGAGCATCTATGATAAACCTACAACTAACATCATACTCAATGGTGAAAAACTAACTGCAGTATTTCTAAGATCAGGAATAATATAAAGGTCTTGGTTCTCACCACTTCTAGTCAGCATCCTACTGGGGTTTCTAGCCAGTGCAATAAAGAAAAAAAAAGAGAAAAGATATCAAAAGTGGAATGGAAGTAGAACTTTCTTTATTCTTAGACAACATGATTGTCTATGCAGAAATTTTGAACTGTACACAAAAATTACTAGAATAATTGTATTTCTGTATACTAACAGTAAATGGAAAAATAGAAAATTGTAAACTATTATTTATAACATCCAAAAATATGAAATATTTAGGATAAGCCAGCATAAGAAAGGTAAAATCTATACACTGAAAGCTAGAAAACATAGCAGAGAGAAATTAAAGGTCAAAATAAATGGAGAGATACACTTATCTTGGGTTGGACCACCAATATTGTGGTGATGTCAATTATCCCCAAATTGATCCATAGTTTCAATGCAATACTCCTAACATACTTTTTTATAGAAGTTTATTCTAAAATTAATGAGGTATTTAAAGGACCTAGAATTGTTAAAAATAACTTTGAAAAGCCCGGGCACAATGGCTCACGCTGGTAACCCCGGTACTTTGGGAGGCTGAGGCAGGCGGATCACCTGAGGTCAGGAGTTCGAGACCAGCCTGGCCAACATGGAGAAACCGCATCTCTACTAAAAATACAAAATCAACCAGATGTGGTGGTACATTCCTGTAATCCCAGCTACTTGGAAGGCTGAGACAGGAGAATCGCTTGAAGTGGAGGTTGTGGTGAGCAGAGATAGTGCCATTGCACTCGAGCCTGGGAAACAACAGTGAAACTCTGTCTCAAACAGAAAACAAAAAAATCTGGAGCACTGATACTACCTGACTTCCGATTTCAAAATTTCTTATTTTATGAAGCTACAATAATCAAGTCAGTATGTTACGTTGTGAAGATAAACAATAGGCCAATAAAAAAGAATGGGATGTCTGGAAATAGAATCGCACGATATAGACAAAGGTGAAAACTCAGTAAAGACTGGAGAGTCTTTTCAACACATGGTGCTGGAATCATTGGATATCATGCGATAGGGAAAAAAACCCTTCAGTCAATACTTCGCACTATATATAAAAAGTAACTGGAAGAGTATTACAGAACTAAAACCCTAAAACATCCAGCAGAAAATGAAAATCTTTGAGTTAGGCAAAAATGTCTTACATACACTACTAAATGCACAATATTCATTTTAAAAACTGTGTAAATTGGATGTCGTCAAAATTAAGAACAATTCTAATATTCCCTTAGGAAAGAATATAGTAAGTACATTGATGCTTATGACATCCATATTATTTGTATCTAATAAAAGCAGGATGAACATTCTAACTCAATTTGTCTAATTGGAGAGATGGATAAGACATAGTAGAGGAAGTTCAGACTTGAAAAGAAAAATGTATACCAAACTATCTCAGTTAGTTTTTAGAATATATATAATTTATCCCAATCAAAATTGGCTCAAACCAGATGTGTCTCCAAAGTGTTCTCATGTACATGTGTGTATGTGAACACACATGCTAGTGTTGTGTTGTGTTTAGTATGATGCTAGATTGTATAACAGAAAGAGTCTGTAAGAATTATAAGCTGATTTTCCAAATATCCTATGCAAATATCTCTGAGTCCTCTGTTCAATCTGGGGACTACCAATGAAGACTAATCTGGAATCTTGGAGAGAGACACTTGGGAAGAACAAGAAAAATAATATTTTGAGTGGGGGTCTCTGTTTCTGGAACATGTTTCAGGGTGTGAGAGTCTCGTTCCCTCCTCAGACCTGGTACTAGAGGGATGCTCTCCTCAATCAAGACTGTGGTGAAAGTGTGGCTAAGTGGACTGCTGAGCCCTTCAGACTTAGTTTATTTGGGCCAACTAGAAACTTTTTTGTAATTCAGACTTCTTGATATTTTATTCAATCATACGGATAATATTACTTTGCACTAAATTAAATTTGATGGAATGCTGCTTATAACCTCTGTGTATTTGGTCCTGTGTAGTAAGTAGACAGAAGTATGGTTCTTCCCATCGTCTTTACCAACTATGCAAAATAAAATGAGAACAAAGAGCCATTAAGGAGTGACAAAAGGCGAGGGAGAATGCCAACTCAAAGCTAACTCATGCACCTCATTCTTCTGATTGGGCAGCCTGCTCATCCGTGAAATCTATGTTTGTGTGTATATACAATCTGTGACTGAATCTAGTGTAAGGACTATGCCAGACAAACCCATTAATAAACTCACTAAATAAAACTCTTTTACCAGGTGATTACCAAAGACAATTACAGCTTTTCAATCAGATTGATAGCAAATCTCACAGTTAAAAAACTACTGTTTTACATCATGAGATACAGAAGAAACCATATTTTTAATGTTTCACTTTGCCTCTAAAATCCTAGCATAAATTAACATATTTTTAAAATAGGGTTAATAAAAGTGGTTTATACCTGGAATCCCAGCATTTTAGGAGGCCCAGGCACAAAGATTGCTTAAGCACAGGAATTTGAGACCAGATTAAGCAACATAGCAAAACCCTGTCCTACAAAAAAAAAAAAAAAAATTAACATTAAAAAATTAGCCAGGTTATATGATTCAGATGTGTGTCCCCTCCAAATCTCATGTTGAAATGTGATCCCCAGTGTTGGAAGTGGGGCCTTGTGGGAAGTGATTCTCTCATAAACGGCTTGCCCTCCCCAGGGTAATGAGTGAGTTCTCATTCTATTAGTTCACATGAGAGCTATTATAGTTGTTTAAAAGAGACTGGTACCTCCTCTCCTCTCTCTTGCTCCAATTCTAGTGCTCTCTTTCACACCGTGTGACATGCCTGCTACCCCTTCACCTTCTGCCATGATTGTAAGAATCTTGAGGCCTCACCAGAAGCAGATGTGGGTGCCATGCTTCTTGTACTGTCTGCAGAATGATGAACCAAAATAAACCCCTTTTCTTTATAAATTACCCAGTCTCAGGTATTTCTTTATAGCAACACAAAATGTGTAACTGGCAAAAGGGTCCTGCTGCTTGCCGCTTGTAGAAAGATGACAACATAACAAGAGCAAAGTGTGACAGAGAAAGAGTGAGTTTTATGATCCGTGTTAGCAAGAAGAGTGGGCAGAATTCTTTCCCCAAAATTTCCACTCTTCAATTTGTGGAAGGAACGCAGGGCTTTTTGTTTTGTTTTGTTTTTTTGTTTTGTTTTGTTTGTTTGTTTTTAAGTGACAGGGGTTTGGAATGCAGGAGGGGAAGAGGGCTTAGAGGTGTCGAGTGGCATGATGTGCTCCAGTGGCTTATCTTGAATTATTGTTCCATTTGGTGAAGGGGCCAGTGCCATCCTGGACCCAACCAGGTTACAAATTAATTGCAGTCCATCTTGCAATTAATTTCTAGCCAAGGGTGAGTTTTGGCCTTGACTGAGAAGAGAATTCCAGAATTATTTTGTCCCTGTCAGGATCTGGCTCCCAAAGCTTCTAAGGAAATATATAACCAGGTAAGTGAGACTGGTGAGCACTTAACAAGCATCTGAGTTAATAAATGTGCATAAGGCATGGGAGCATAGAATGGGAAAAGAAAGGGAGTGGAGGTTCACAGCACATTCTAAGGCTGGATTTCTCCAAGTTATATCTTGAAACTGGGGAGAAAGGAGGAAAGAAAACAAAGTTTTAAAACGCACTTTGAACCCAAGCTGCTTGGTTAGAAATGGACTGATACATTAGGTGTGGTGGCATGCACCTGTAGTCCTAGCTACTTGGGAGGCTAAGGTGGGAGGATTACTTGAGCCCAGGAGTTCAAGGTTATAGTGAGCTATGGTCACACCAGTGTACACTAGAGCCTGGGTAACAGCAAGACTCTGTCTCTAAAAACTAAAAAAAATAAAAAAATAAAAATAATAGATACAGCATTGTAGTAATAGGAATTCACTAATGTTGATTCTCTTCTCTCTCTTATATTTGTATAGTGTCACATCTGAATCTTTTACAAACATTTATCTATTAATTTATATGGCATTTCCTCTGTTAATGTCACTCTGCCGTATTTTATAATGAGGAAATTGAAACTTTGAGGTAGTATAGAGGCAAAGCTAAGCCT